CCAATTTAGGTTTGCTCTAATATGTTCTCATTGTCATGGGCACAATGGAATGGCTCGAAAGGAAGAGTTTGATTTTTTATCTTATAAATGTTGGATATGTGGCAGCTTCAATCCTTCTCGTCAACAAAGAATTATTCACACTAAGTCAGAGGAAAATTTATGTAGTGAGTCACGAATAAAGACTAATTCAGAGGAAGAAGAGAAGGAGCCTTCAAAAGTTAGTGGCATTCTTAATCTCCTGTGGGTTTTTTTCGTGAGTGTTTTTCTTCATTTGTCATTCAACTTGCTGTATAGATTTGCTCACTTTTAATCCTGGACAAGTCTTGCATTATTTGTTCTTCCACATTTTTAAGCGTAGCCAGTTCACCTTCTAATAGTCAGTAGAAGGTGAGCCATTTTTTAAAAACTGTAGAAAAAGAGAATCTTCAGTAGACAGGAATGCTGGCTTTTTGGGATTTTTTTCAAATGTTACGGAAAATACCATTGATTTTAGGAAATAAGAAATCGAGCAAAAACTCGTAGTGTCTCGCACCAGCGACCGTTAACAGCGAACTTGGATGCTGATAAGAAGAGTGTGAGTTTAAGATGTATTTTTGGTAAAAGTTTATCCTCGAGTATATTTATTTTGCTCCTGTTCAAATGATATTTTTTAGGACGAAGAGACAAAGGATAAAAAGGAAGATTGACCAGCTACTTTTTTTCCGCACTCATTGAGGTCAGAAACGGTTTTTAAGGGTATTTAAAAAGCATACTTAATACACGAATACACCTTGTTTTTAGAAAATTTTTTTGCAGTTTGTGTTTGCAAATTTCGCAGCCGAAAAGCTTTGTTACTTTCTGCTAATCCCCTTGCATCTAGAAAATTCGTCAGCTTCATTCCAACCTATGCGATCTTAAAAACGATAATGGGACCAGCAGGGGACCTTCATGAGCAATTTTCTTTGCGTTTTTATGCGTGTATGTGTGAGTGTGTGTGCGTGTGTGCCTTGTCTCGCGAAATATTTCTATTCATTACCTTTAACTGTTACGCTTGTTAAAGTTTTATTTGTTTGTTCTGTGAACTCGGTTCTTTCATCTACGTTTGTGACGGGTTTTTATACTCTAAGCTGTTGTTTAAGTGTTCCTTCCACCGCCCATTAGTCGTATTATGTTTTGAAATTGTGTATTCAATCTTTAACGCCTAAAAACCTTTTGAATTGGTTATATGTCGTTGTGTAACGAACATTACGCGATGACTTATGTGTTGATAACTTCTCATGCCGTTATACCAACACGCTCTGTTGCCTATTTTCCCCTATTCCAGGTGGCGTAGGAACTTTGCGCCTTACCTGGGAGTCGTGTGACTGAGCTGTAATATATTTCCAACTGCTTCTTTGCCTTGAGTTTGAATTTTGTTTTTATTGTAAATTGACGATTATATGAGGAGGTGGCTATGCCATATTTAAAGAGGATAAGCGGGATTGCTTTTTATGAACAAAACCAGTAAAACTATGACTCCTTGGTCGATTTGGAAAGTTAGGTGCTCTCATATGCAAATGATGTATTTTTGTAATAGAAGAAAGCACAACACTAACCTGTGGCTGTTTATTTATTTTTTTTTCTTTGCCTGGTTACAGAGATATGTTTACTACAATTTTCACCCAATTAAAAACATCGCAGTTACAGATGGCAACCAAATTGGCACTTTTTACCGCCCAAACCTTATAAATTCGAATTTGTTACGCCTTTTCACGAACGGTTTGCCTTGCCCTGAATTACACAGTTTAAGAACAACCAAAAAAAGCAAGAAAAAGAACTAGGAAACGAGAGAGCCCATTACCACAGCTGCTGTCAAAGCACCACTAGTAAAACAGACTTACAGCATTTAGGTTGACTGAAACGGCTTATTTTGTCACTAGGCTAAGTCGTAAAGTAAAGCTAACATAATCTAAGATCCCCACTGAGTTCACCTTCATCAAGACTTCCCAGTTCGTCTAGAGCTTCAAGCAGTTCTCTTCGAAGTCTGGCCCTTCTGGTTTCCACGATGTAATTCTGCGAAGCTGCGTTTTTCTCTGAAATATAATGGTCTTAGATTAGTAAACTACTAGGGAGTAAAGTAATTGAGATGCTGATCGGCGAGTCCCGGATTGTTGCGTTTCGGCCCTGCGGCCATTTTAGCGTACCACTATTTCGAAGAATTTGCCAAAATGAATTACAGGCCAAATCAGCACAGATGCACGTACACTACTTGTTAAGCTGATGGATTTATTTCTTCAGTGAAGTAACCACAAAATTTACAAGGCCAGATGAAGTCATTTAACAATTTTGTGTTTCTAATAATTCCCAAAGAAAGTAGGACAGGAGACTAGTAGAAACTCGTTAGTGTCTTACCTCATCAAAAAGATAACCTGGCTTGTTTCTCAAATTTATTTGAAAAATTCTTCAACTGATATTAGTAGAAAATGAACGCCTCAAGTAGTAATGGCTTTTGTCTTTAAGTTACAGCATTTTATAACATCAAAAAGTAAGGTCGTCCAAACACAAAAGTAAGTCTTGAAGAACTAAAAAGCTACAAAAACAAATACTTACTCAATCGAGAACAGTCGCTTGTCTGGAAAAGAATGCAGACGAAGATTAATGGTACAAACCATTCCATGGCCTGAATTCAATTTGAATGGCTGGAAATATAACAATAACAGTAGTTGCTCTTCGCGGAATTAGACAAAAACTTGAAAAGCAGGCAAAATCGGATTTTCGTCAGCAATTTTTACTTGCTAACTATTGTTGTTAAAACATCACCCTTCTTCCTGTCAAATAATTAGGGTCTTTTGAAAATGCATTGCTACTTTGTTGTCGCATTTTCTATTGCCTTTCTGTTAAACACTGCTGAGAACTTCCACTATAGGTTATGTATTTTAAATATTTATTTTATAGACTTTTTTCAATAATTGACTATCCAATTATCCAGACCAAACATGTGACGCATACCTATCTCAAAGAGAATTGCAATCTTTCTGACTTAAACATCTATTCGAGGTATTACGAGAAGAAGGATTGTATCCATAACCTTATAGGATTTGAAGTTAATTTCGTCAAATGAAAAAACTGTAATCGGCAGTAATGTTTAAGAATAATTCACCACCAACCAAACTGTTGCGATCTACTTGTAAACAAGGAAGTAAGGACAAAAGAAAAAGGGCACTTTCGCATATCTTAACGAATAACAAAAATTTTGCATTTTTTGTTGCAATATTTCATGAAAAAGAAATAAAGGAAGGTGCACCGGGTATGAAATCATTGTTGCTTTACTTCTAAAAAAATTTGTCCACAGAACTAAGAGTAAAAGTATTTCAATGAATGCGGAAAAGTACTAGCGATAACTAACACTCCACTTATCAAAAGAGAGTTAAAGTAATTTCATGACAATAGAAAAGATATCTAATACTGAATACAATATAAACAAAGGAGAAAGATTAAAAACTGTCCCACAAACCTGCACCTGTTGCAGTGAGCTCAGCGAGCAGATATACTGACAAAAAAATCTATTTCTCCATTTGAAACAGAGTATCAGCCAGATCGTCTAAAAACCTTTTTGCTCACCAAAACCAAGCCACTTTTATTACTGCCATCATATCACAAAATAGTGTCCATTAAGAGAGTCTGCAAAAATAGCATCGTATTTAATCCATGCTTTAGTCAGCACTAAGAACAACTAACGTTTTCCTTCCTGGAATCTATTTTTCTAGACAAAATATAACTTTCTTTTTCCTAAGTCTGGTCTAGTCATTTATATCCGATCACTTTTCAGAAAAAAAAAGAGGATCAAATTAAACTATCAGCGTTAAAAGACTAATAATTTTGTCCATTATCCATCTCAAATGTAACTTTTTCTGCGAAAAAAAATTAGCATTAAAAAATATAAATTGCTTCACTAAGTTGAGCAACCAAACCCTCTTGCTTTCAAAGCAACAACAGTTTTTTTCCGTTTTTTTTAAACGAACTTTAAAATTATACCACCTACAGCTATTAAATTGAGCTTGAGATATGAAAAGAAAAACACCATTACAGTTATTTGTAGAATAAGTTGGGTGTACCTCTGCTTCCTCATTTAAATCATTCCTTATGCTAAACAGCAGCTCACAAACACATACAAAAAAAAAAAAAAAAAAAAAAAAAAAAAA